TTTTTTTTTTTATTTTTTTATTAAAAAAAATTTTTTTTAACGTTTCATTTATTTTTGAGACAGAGAGAGAGCATGAAAGGGGAGGGTCAGCGAGAGGGAGACACAGAATCTGAAACAGGCTCCAGGCTCTGAGCTGTCAGCACAGAGCCACATGCGGGGCTCGAACTCACAGACCGCGAGATCATGACATGAACCAAAGTCAGCCCCTTAACCGACTGAGCCACCCAGGCACCCCTGGCCAGAGCTTTCTCCAGTATAAGCAGTCACACACAAGTCATGGTGACAGTCAGGAGTACATTCAGCCACGGTCATGAGCATATGCCTGCACATGCTTATAGACCAGGATAGCTGCCTAAGGGGTTAGAGCCTCCAGCACCCATCCAGCTGGGTCATAAACATCTCCAGAGATACTAAGCCAGTCTTTAAACTGTAGCAATCACAAGAACTGACATTCACTGAACACCTACGCTTCCTCAAGTCCTGTGTTAAGCATTTTAAGTAGACTTACTTGATCCTAACACGACGTTATGAGGAAACTGAGGCACACACTGGAAGGGCAAACATTTTGCCCAAGGCTGCACAGCCAGAAAATAGAGAAACTGGAATTCGAAACCCAGGCTGTCTAACTATAGAGGTAAAGCACTTTGACTCCTACTGTGTTGACAGTAACCAGCCCTGCACGCAACCTGCTCAGAGGCACCAAGCTCGCAAATAAAGCAGACACGATTCTTGCTTCAGGAGCTATTAATGGAGTGCCTAAAACGTGCAGGAGCCGGGATCCAGAGGGCCCAGGAAAGGCTCATCTCTCTCACTCAGACCTGACGTCTGTCCGAGGGCGGCTGCTTCCGAGCATGGGGCCCAAATTTCAGGAGGAAGCTCTACCTGATCGTTTCCACAATGGACCCCTTTCCAAACGGGGACCGACAGGAGCCGAGGCCTGCCTGAGCTTGGGGTGGGGCGAGGTGAGGCGAGGCGAGGCGAGGCGAGGCGGAAGTAGAGCCGTGTGGAGGAGGGACCTGTACCCGGCCAAGGCTTTGGCGCGACGGGCCCGGTAGAGCGGAATCCGGGAGGATCTAATAGGTGCCCAGGAGCCAGATACTGGGCCTGCAGGCGACGGGGAGGAGGTGGAGCCTGCGCTCGGTCCCAGCTGGGATACGTAGGGAGCGAGGTGCTGTGGCTCGGGCGGGGCTGGAGGGGCAGAGGCGGAGCCATGGCAGAGACCAGGTCTGCGTCGGGGGTGTTGTGACGCCCTGAACCGGGGGCGGAGCCTAAGCCGTGGCGGGCGGAGGCGGGGTGGGGCCTAGCTACCTAGGGAAAGTCGACCAGGTCCGGTGCTGCAGGAGACGACGGCTGCAGTGCGTCCGCCGCGCCGCTAGGGGCCAGCGCGGGCGGTCAGAAGAGTCCAAACCACAGACAGCTAGAAACCGACCCGCGCGGAGCGAGCACGCGAAGCGTCCCGGAGCTTGGCTTCAGCATGTCAGTACCTCCCCCTTCCCATGCGCCTTATGTTCGTCCTCACTGTCCCCCGTCTGTCCCATGAGTGCGGTCCTCAAGTAGCTATGCCGTCCCGCACGCCCTCCCTGCTTCTGTCGTTCTCTCCCCTAGCATGCCGAGCCACACCCACCCAGAGTCAAGCTGCTGAAGCACACCCTCCCCCCCAAAACTCCACGGTTTGTCATCCACTAGGAGGGAGGGGGAAACCGAGGCACAGAAGACACTGCCGCCTCTCCCTGAGGATACAGGAGCCCCGCCCATAGTGGGTGGGGTTGGCCACGAAGGGGTTAAGACCGCGGGGAAGTCTGGGGCTCCAGACCTAGGGGTGGATTCTGGGGCTTCCTCCCTCTTGGTCCAGAGCTGTAGCTGCTGCGGAGGTGGCCGATGCAGGTGAGGTGCTTATAATCCTCTGAGTGGGGTGTGGGGTTGTGGGGGCTACCTGTGCCTGACCAGTGTGGAATTGGACTCAGGCTCATGGGGCCTTTTGGGGGAGGTGGGGAAGGAGAGCCAGGACGTCCTCTCTGGAGCAAGTGAGTAGAAGAGTGAGGCCCAGTGGATCCCTCACTGCCAGGAATCCCCTCAGCATAGACTCTCCTGGCAGAAGGGCCTGGGGTAGGACTGGCAAACAATGGGGTTTAGGCACAGGAGGTCTGAGCCCCCAACCTGATGGCCGTTGGACACCCTTGTGGATTTAGGAAGGAAGCTGTGGTCCTTATCTAGGGCGACTACGAAACTCAGGCCAGTGGGGAACCAAGCCTGCAAGAGCCACATTGCTTTGTGACAGTGAGCCAGGCCCCTTGCTAGTGCTGTTGGAACCCTATGTGAGGGGACAGTTGGGTCCATGCCCAAGCAGAGTGTCCTGAGCTGCATGGGGATGGGGGGGGGGGGGGGGGGGGGGCGGGCATGGGCTCTGTGCTCCAGGCAGGAAAGGCAGTTCAGTGAGGGGAAAACTGATCCTAACGGGTGGGTGATGGGTACCCCAGGATTGCTCAGGTGACAGGCATGGCCCAAGTGGTCAGAAAGGCTGGGACCTAAAGTGTAAAGAGAAGGAAAGGGCAGGGGAGTTCCTGGGGACAGCCAGAGGGAGTTTTGGGTGGGTTTAAGTAGGGGGTCATGGTGCCTAGTCTGCATGTTCTGTCTGATGGCCAGCCAACCATGGTGCTGTAGGCTAGGTCCCCTGTTCTGGGGAGGCCAGAGTTGTAGCCAGAGAAAGTGGGGCCATGACTCTTGGGTTCTGCCCCAGCCTTTAGCCTTCAGCTTTCCTCCAATGTGGGGCAGGACACCCTGGAACCATTACCTCTACTGTCACCTGAGTGAGTCACCTGAGTCAGGTATAAGGGATGGTCTCCAGGTGACCTGTGCCATCAGGTGAGTATGGGACAGAGACAAGGTGTAGCTTACCAGTTCCAGGATGCATGGCTCCCCTAGCACTCTGTCAGCCCCTCCCTGCCCCAACACTGTCCTCCTTCCTGGCAAAGCCTAGCATGGCTGTTGTCTACAGGAGGAGCATCCTTGTGGTCTGAGGAGATAACCATTGTCTGGAGACCATGCTCTTAATCCCCAGCCTGGCACTGAGCCACCTGCAACCCAGCAGGAAATGACCATGGCTCCCAGCCTGACTTAGCTGAGCCTGGATCCTTCATGTAGGGAAGAGCTGACTCTGAGCCCTGGCTCATCAAAGCTGACTCCTACCCTAGACCCTACACACCAGATAGAGTTGATCCTGAGTACCAGCCCAGCCAAGCTGACTCTGGATCCTGCATGCCAGTCAGAGCTGACCCTGAGATCCAACCTGGCCACGCTGACCCTGGATCCTGCACACCAGCCAGAGCTGACCCTGAGCCCCAGGCTAGCTGAGCTGACCCTGGGTTCTGCATGCCATCCAGAGATGACCCTCAGTCCTGGCTCGACTGAGCTGACCCTGGATCCCGCACACCAGCCAGAGGAGACCTCAGCCCCCAACCTGGCTGAACTTACCCTGGAGCCTGTGCACTGCCGACCTGAGCTCCTGGATGCCTGTGCCGACCTCATCAATGAGCAGTGGCCCCGCAGCCGTGCCTCCCGCCTGCATTCCTTGGGCCAGTCCTCAGACGCCTTCCCCCTCTGCCTGATGCTGCTGAGCCCCAGCCCCACACCTGAGGCAGCCCCCATCGTGGTGGGCCATGCCCGCTTGTCACGGGTGCTGGACCGGCCCCAGAGCCTCCTAGTGGAGACAGTGGTGGTGGCCCGGGCTCTGAGGGGCCGTGGCTTTGGCCGCCGCCTCATGGAGGGCCTGGAGGCTTTTGCTCAGGCCCGGGGCTTCCGCCGACTACACCTCACTACCCACGACCAGCTGCAGTTCTATGCCCACCTGGGCTACCAGCTGGGTGAGCCTGTGCAGGGCCTAGTCTTCACCAGCCAACGGCTGCCTGCCACCCTGCTCAGGGCCTTCCCCAGAGCCCCCTTTCCCCGGCAACCCTGCAAGGCTTCTAGTCTGACTGCCCAAACTGCCCCAAGAGCCCCCAAGGGGCCATCATTGCCACCACCTCCTCCCCTGCCTGAGCCCTTGACCACCTCACCCCCACCTCCTGCAGGGCCCCCTCCACAAAGCCTGCTGGAGACACAATACCAAGACCTGAGAGGATGTCCCATATTCTGGATGGAAAAAGACATCTGAGGGCTACCCAGGACAAGGCACTGTCCTTCAGGGTTGATGGACTGCCTAGGACAGTCTGGGCCTCAGCCCATTGGCCATACCATAGTCCCTAGACCCTGGGAGCAGCTTTAGCCTGGCCATGTTTCCTGAGTACCAGTGGGGCCAGTAGATGGCTTCATGGCTGTGGCTCAGAGCTATCAGTGTGGCTGAATAAAGGCTTCTGTTGGATGTGGCTGTGATAGTTTATTTGTTGACCTCACTCTCACCTCCCAGCTTCATCTTAGATCCCCTATCTCTGCAAGAGTCCCAGATCAACCTTGGCCCTAGGGCCATGGATGAAGGGACACCTGCCCTTTGCCCCTCCCACTCTTCCAAGCCCAGGTGACAAGGTATCTGTTCCCTTCTACATTCACTCATCACTATTCACTCAGGGGCTACTGTTTGTCAGGCTCTGGACTGGTCACAGGCAATGGGGAACGAGACAGACAGTACCTCGACCCAAGGGACAGGGGAGACAGGCAGGCATACAGTGTCAGGATCCGTGCTGGGACAGTGGGAGCCCAAGTGCCCTCAGTGCATTTAGAGACCCAGGAGGCCTCCCAGGGGAGGTGATGTCACAGCAGAGACCTGAGAGCTGAGTAGGAATTAAGCCAGGCAAAGGGGAGGATGTTAAGTGTTCTTGGGGCAAGGTCCAAGAAAGAGGTCAGAGGGGACTGGTGAGAAGTGAGTGGGCTAGGTGTCAGAAGGCACAGTGGTGCTGTGACAGAGATGGACAACACAGGAGCTACGTGGGCCAACTTAGGGTGTTACTGGTTTGAGAGGCCTAGAGGACCACATGGGGACCATCCTTCCCCAGCCTCCATCCTTGGGAGTAGCTGGGAGAGTGTTCCCAGCTTTCCCTGCTGTATAGAAGGTGTGGCCACGGCCATGAATTCTAAGCTCACACCCCCTCTCTCCTGCAGGTTTCTGTCCCTGGGGCATGATCATGCAGCTGGGCCTCGCCCTGGTACTAGGAATGGCCCTGTGCCTGGGGTGTGGCCAGCCCCTGCTGTGGGCTCCTGAACGTCCCTTCTCTGTGCTATGGAACATACCCTCAGCACACTGTAAGACTCGCTTTGGTGTGCACCTGCCACTAGAGGCTCTGGGCATCACAGCCAACCGTGGCCAGCGTTTCCATGGCCAGAACATCACCATCTTCTACAAGAACCAGCTTGGCTTCTATCCCTACCTTGGGCCCAGGGGCACAGCTCATAACGGGGGCATCCCCCAGGTTGTCCCTCTTGACCGCCACCTGGCACGGGCTGCCTACCAGATCCATCTCAGCCTAGAACGTGGCTTTGCTGGCCTGGCAGTGCTGGACTGGGAAGAGTGGTGTCCACTCTGGGCCGGGAACTGGGGCCGCCGCCGAGCCTACCAGGAAGCTTCATGGGCTTGGGCACAGCGGGTATTCCCCCACCTGAACCCCCAGGAGCAGCTCCACAAGGCCCGTGCTGGCTTTGAACAGGCAGCCCGTGCCCTGATGGAGGACACACTACGGCTAGGCCAGGCACTGAAGCCCCATGGGTTCTGGGGCTTCTATCGCTTCCCAGCCTGTGGCAATGGCTGGCATGGTACAGCTTTCAATTACACAGGCCACTGCCACCCAGCCACTCTAGCCCGAAACACACGACTGCATTGGCTCTGGGCTGCCTCCAGCTCCCTCTTCCCCAGCATTTACCTCCCACCCAAGCTGCCACCTATTCACCACCAGGCATTTGTCCGATACCGCCTGGAAGAAGCCTTCCGTGTGGCCCTTGTTGGGCACCCACATCCCCTGCCTGTCCTGGCCTATGCCCGCCTCACATACCGGCATTCTGGGAGGTTCCTGTCCCAGGTGAGCGAAAATTGAGATCTAGGGGTCTGAGTGGGGAGTCATGGTCCTGTCCTAGGAAGATCTGAAGAGAAGACCTTGCCCAGGGGAATTTGATGGGGAGACCCTGATCTAGTTCTGAGTGGGGAGGTACTATCCTGGATCATCTGAAAAGGAAGTATGGCTCTGCCTTGGAAAATCTTGAAGGGGAAGGCAAGGCCAACGTTTGGAGCCCTGGTCTGAGGGAAGACATTTTCTGAGTGGAGGACCCAAGAAGCCACTCAGAGGCTCAGTGCCAAGTAACCTTACTCTAGAAGTGGAATCAGATCATGGTAATGAGCCAGAAAAGTTTCTTGAAGGTAGAGGTAGGCCCAGATGGATCTGACCAGCCCAGCCCTGGCTTAGCAGTTCTTTGCTTCCAGGATGACCTCGTGCAGACCATTGGTGTGACCGCAGCACTAGGGGCAGCCGGCGTGGTGCTCTGGGGGGACCTGAGCTTCTCCAGCTCTGAGGTGATCATTGCCCCTCCAGCCTGCCGTACAGCCCATCCTGGGATCCCAGGGTTCGGGGGAGAGACCATGTCAGAGCCATGAAGCAGGAGCATTGATACATCCTTCCCCTCTCCACAGGAGAAGTGCTGGCATCTCCATGACTACCTACTGGGCACCCTGGGTCCCTATGTAATCAATGTGACCAGGGCAGCCATAACCTGCAGTCACCAGCGGTGCCATGGCCATGGGCGTTGTGCCCGCCAAGATGGAGGACAGCTGGAAGCCTTTCTGCATCTGCAGCCAGATGGCAGCCCTGGAGCTTGGGAGTCCTTTAGCTGCCGTTGTTACCCGGGCTGGGCTGGCCCTACCTGCCAGGAGCCTAGACCTGAGCCTAGGCCTGAAGAAGCAACATAAAACCAGAGGTTACCTGCCCCTGACTCTCTTGTCCCTGCTGCCATTTTTCCAGTCTTGGAGGACAGCTCTGTCCCACTCTTGTTCTATTCAGTTTAGAGCCAGTCCTCCCATACACACCCTCCCTTCCCATGGGATACCTGGGGAGTGGAAGGGGCCAGGAAAAAAATGTTGACAGACAAACAGACAAAAATGTTTATTTTGTTTACACTATTTTAAAACCAAAGGTCCTCTGAGGTCACTTGATCCCTCCTGATAAGCAGCCCCAGGGAAAGTCAGAGTTCCAGATGGTTAGCGTTGCAAGCTCAGGGCTCTGTTCCTACTACTCCTCACTGGGTCCATGGAAAGGTCACAGGAGACCCATCCAGAGACAGGTGGGCTCCAAGATCTTGGCTAAGGTCTGTAAGTGCTAAGCTGTTATTTGTCCTCTGCTTCAGCATAAAGTCACTTTTTCTTTCACCACCTAAGGTTTGTTCACCAAGTTCCACTAAACCCCAAGCTCTTCCTGTCGCCGAGTGTCCGTCCGCAAGTGCCCAGAAACGCTGGCCCTTCCTGACGTAGTAGGCTGCTCCAAAGAGGCAGCTTCAGTGTTAACAACTGTGCATGCATGCACGTGGGCGCGCGGGGGGCGGTGTACACAGGGCATTGTGGGTGCATAGTTCAGCTAGAGCGTCGTGGGTTTACGGGTCTCAGGAATAGACTACAATTCCCGAGGTGCTCTGCGCCTAGCCTGCTGGCGGTGATCTGGGCGCGCAGTCCCCTGGGACTAGTAGTTTCGGCCGTGCGCATGTGGTCCCGGAACCCAATGGCCAAGAACTCGCCTTCCCGGCCACCCGTTTAGCAGGGCGGGGCGCAGCGACTCGTTTGGCAGGGCGGGGCGCCTCGCGAAGATGGTGTCGCGTGCGGCGTGTGGCTCCCGTCGTCTGCCCAATTCTCAGCTTAGCCCACCGGCCGGTGTCTCGCCGGTCTGGAGCCCCCGCCCGCCGGGCCCCTGACCCTGAGCCTTCTGCGCGCCCGCGCTCCTGATTCCCGGCATGCCCCGCGCTCGTAAGGGCAGCGCACCCCGCAAGGGTGGCCAGCGCCGCGGAGCCGGTAAGTGGGGAGCTACTGATGAACGGCGAGCGGGGGTCCTGCGTGGCTTGCCCGTCGGTGTTCCCGATGGCTCCCGAACGGAGACTCCTGCGTCGACCAACCTGGCGCTGCCTCCCGCAACTCTCCCGCGGCCAGCACGTGCCCCAGGAGGCAGCGGCCACGTGTGCGCCCAACTCAATTTGGGCGCTGCTTGCTGCTCAGGAACCCACGCTACCGGGCCTAAACTGGTCGGTGCCTCTCGGCCTCAGTTTCTCCATTGCGGATCCAGCCCAGTTACCTGCTATGATAGACAAGCTCGCCAGACAGCAGGAAGCCTGCCGCCTCGCTAAATCGCTGCTCTTTTACTGGACTGGACTAGGAAGTTGGTGGGAGGGCTACTCTGACGGAGAGTACTGAGGTAGGGGGCGGACTGGCGGAGGGGTGGGGGGCGGTGGGGATGTTGCAGGATTCTGGCCTTGGTGGACCTGGCCCGAGAGGGTTAGGGAGTGCCCTTGAGCCTGCGGCAGTCCTGAGACTTATCAGCTTTGAACAGAAGTGTGTCTTGCTTCAGTAAACACATATGTTTACTCTGCAGGAATGGGGTGCCTGCTAGGCACAGCTTAGACCACCCTAATGGGACTTGGGTGTGGGGACATCTAAGAGGGTAGCAACATTACAGAAGGACTGGTGTTGGGGGACAAGTTCATTTAAATGGTGTCAGCCCCAGACTTAAGAACCAAGGAATCCTTGAGGGGCTTCTGGGTGAATCCTGAGGAGGTGAAGAAGAGAGCACTTTGCAGAGGAAATAATTTGTGCAAAGGCCTGGCATCTAGAGAGGGAACAAATGAGGGAGGCTAGGCTGCTTTGGCTGGTTAGGGTAGTAAGAGAGGTGATGAGCGGAGGACTGCATGCGTGCTGCACTTTGTCCAGCAGGTACATGGCGTATGTCGTTCTGAGAAGTAGGACCAGTCTGGTGACCAGAACCCATCTGGGACTCTGCTGCAGGAGCTGCCCTTGCCAAAGTCAGCCCCTGGCCCTGGGCAGAACCCACACACAGGAGCATTCCAGCTCTGCTGACCCTGACATTCTCCTGTGTTTACCTATTTTTAGGGACTCGTGTGGTCAGGGGTCACTCCACTCTCTGCATTTCCCGAGGTCAGGAGGAGCCTGTGTGTCCATCCACCGAGGGCTGAAGGCCTGGGATAGTCCAGGGGGAGCTCAGAAGACCGTATGCTTGAAGCCTGGGGCACCCAGCCATATCCACTAGCAGCTGGGCTTCTGCCCCAAGGCAGATGGGTGGTTGTGGGCCCAAAGAAGAGCCTTAACTAGTTGTTTGTTCAGTCATTGTCTTCATTTGCTGTACTAAATGAGGTGTTTTAGCATGTCTGTTTTGCAGATGAAAAAATTAAGGCATTGGGGGTGCCTGGGTGGCTCACCCATTTAGGGTTAAGCCTCTGACTTTTTGTTTGGGTCATGATCTCATGGTTCAGGAGTTCAAGCCCCACTTCGGGCTCTGTGCTGACAGCTTGGAGCTTGGACCCTGCTTCAGATTCTGTGCTTCCCTCTCTCACTGCCCCTACCCTGCTCGCTCTCTCTCTCTCTCTCTCTCTCTCTCAACAATAAATAAACATTAAAAAAAAAAAAAGGCGTTGAAGTCTAGGCACTTGACCTGGTTGCACTCTTTTCACGATATGGAGCTGGAATTTGAACCCTGTGTCTGTCTGTATATGTTCTGTATATACAGATTCAATAATCGAAGCCCCTGACTTTTGCCCTGGCCATTTTTAGGCATAATCTGGGCTGGTGGCTGAGCTCCCCCAGGATTTGCCTAGATATGTCCCCACTCCAGGTGGGGCCTGTGCAGCCCCTTCTGCCTCTACCAGGACCTCAGTCTCCTTCTTAAAGCAGGCTCTAGTCTCACAGGGGCTGTACTCACGAAGCCTGCCAGGTTTTCCTAGGCTGGGCCTGGGAATGTTCTCCAGTTGATAGACCTCACTCCCTTTCTCCTCTTTCCTGGCTCAGCATCCCCTGCATCAGTCCCTGTGTGTACCACTTCAGCCTCCCATTTTCTCATCTCTGAGAGGGGGCAGGACTCTATTCTTGGGGGGTCATGAGGCCGGGTGAGGTACCCCCGGCCATCAGACATCAGTAAGGGCGGGCCAAGTGCTATGTTCCACCCTCCCTAGGTGCCCGGAGCAGAACCCAAGCTGACTCAGGTTCCAGTGAGGATGAGGCAGTCAGTGAGGCCCGCAGTACCACCAGTGAATGCCCCAGCCTTCTTAGCACTGCAGCAGAGGACAGCCTTGGTGAGAGTGAGTGGGAGTTTGGCAGGGACTCTGGGGATTCCCTGGGGTAAAGCAAGACGCGGGGCTGACCAGCTGGCCTTGCAGGGGGGGATGCCATGGATGAGCAGGGCCAGCAGGAAGACCTTGAGGAGAAGCTGAAGGAGTATGTGGACTGCCTCACAGACAAGAGGTACCTCTGACTGCCAGCCAACCCCTATACCCCTGTCCCTGCTCAGCCCATGCCAAGTATGACCCAGTAGGGCTGGTGCACAAGGTCCCCTCTCTTCATTCCTCAGTGCCAAGACCCGGCAGGGTGCTCTCGAGAGCCTTCGCCTGGCCCTGGCATCCCGCTTACTCCCTGACTTCTTGCTGGAGCGCCGCCTCACACTGGCTGATGCCTTGGAAAAGTGCCTCAAGAAAGGTTGGGCCCCGGGGGCTCACGGGAGACCTGAATTGGCTGGGTACTGACCCTTGCTGCATGGGCTGACTGGAAAGCCTTCCTACAGGGAAGGGGGAGGAACAGGCCCTAGCCGCTGCTGTGCTAGGTCTGCTCTGTGTGCAGCTGGGCCCTGGACCCAAGGGCGAGGAGCTATTTCACAGCCTACAGCCCCTCCTGGTCTCTGTGCTCAGTGATGGCACAGCTTGTCCTGCTGCTCGGCTTCACGTGAGTGTTCTCTGCTCTGTGACACCCTTCCCTCCCCTAATCCCTAAGGGGAGAGGTGGGTTCCACCTGCTTTCAGGCTCCTTTACTCTGAGGGTGAGCCCTGTGGCTGGGAACCCAGGCTCACTCTCTAACCACAGCGTGGCTTTGCCCTCTTTCCAACAGTGTGCTTCTGCTCTTGGTTTGGGGTGCTATGTGGCTGCTGCCGATGTCCAGGTAAGTGACCTTTGGGCATGGCTAATAGAGTACCTAGGCCCTGGCTCTGCCCCTGAGCCACTCCCGCTGCCTCCCTGTGTCCCTAGGACCTGGTCTCTTGCCTCAACTGCTTGGAAGGTGTTTTCAGCCGGTCCTGTGGAATGGGTGGCTCCACAGCCCCTGTGGTCCCTGCCAGCCTGCATGGCCTGCTCTGTGCTGCCCTGCAGGCCTGGGCATTGCTACTCACCGTCTGCCCTAGCACCCATATCAGCCACATCCTGGACAGGTAAGAGCAACTGCCTGCTGTGAGTGGAAGGGGAAAGGTGAGGCCCCCCCAACCCACAAGTAGCTCAGCCTGCCCCTTCCTCAGGCAGCTGCCCCGGCTGCCCCAGCTCTTGTCCAGCGAAAGTGTGAACCTGCGAATCGCTGCCGGCGAGACCATCGCACTGCTCTTTGAGCTGGCCCGGGACCTTGAGGTGTGAGAGAGGGGTGAGGGGAAGGGAGGGGGCCTGCTGACTCCACCTGCCCATCCTCGGCTGAATGCAGGGGACACCACAGAAAAAGCAGGACAGCCTTAGGTCCTTATGGAGGGGAGGTAGCCCTAACATAGACTGAGATGCCGGGTGCCATGGTGGTGGCAGGGGTGTCTGGCCCAGGCAGGGACCAGGAGGGAATTCAAAGGGGAGAGGCAGAGAAGAAAACCACTTCTTCCGAGATAGGAAGGGTTTGCGCGACCCCAAGTTGAGAGCCAGCAGAGCGCGGGCTTCTGCTCACACGCCCTCTATTGCTCCCACCACAGGAGGATTTTATTTACGAGGACATGGAGGCCCTCTGCAATGCCCTCCGAACCCTGGCCACCGACAGCAACAAGTACCGTGCCAAGGCTGACCGCCGGCGTCAGCGCTCTACTTTCCGCGCTGTGCTGCACTTTGTTGAGGTGTGTGTGAGAACGTGTGTCCTAGTGAGAGTGCATCCCCAGGCACAGCCACCAAGCCCTGTTCTGCGGGTCCCTCTACTCTGCAGGGCGGTGAGTGTGAGGAAGAGTCGGTCCGCTTCGGGCTTGAGGTGCTCTATGTGGACAGCTGGGCTCGGCGCCGCATCTATGCTGCCTTCAAGGATGTGCTGGGATCGGGCATGCACCACCATCTCCAGGTGGGGAAGTAGACAGGGAGGGGACACCCAGCTTGGCTGTTTTGGACCAGCTTGAGCTCACTGCCCTGTTTGCCCCCAGAACAACGAGCTACTCCGTGATATCTTTGGCCTGGGTCCTGTCCTGGTGCTGGATGCCACTGCCCTGAAGGCCTGCAAGATTTCACGTTTTGAGAAGGTTCGCACCCTTGGGCACGTTTATCGTCCCTCCATTCCCACGGCCTGGAGGCCTGGAGCTCTGCAGGGGCTAGAGGAAAAGCCCTGGGCCTCCCCTTCCCTAGCTCACCATATCATCACTCTCTGCCCCCACTCCAGCACCTATACAACGCCGCTGCCTTCAAAGCCCGGACCAAGGCACGCAGCCGTGTGCGAGACAAGCGGGCAGACATCCTGTGAGGTGGGGCCAGCTGAAGAGGAGACTGTCCACACTCGTGCCTGTGTTTTTAACAGAAGACACTGCAACAACTGGTTGTTCCTGCCAGGAATTGTGGCTTTATTTTTTTAATGACAAAACCAAAAACAGACAGGGGTGGTGGCTGGAGGCCAGGGCACTTGGTATCCTGGCCCCTTGCCTCAGCACAGCCCTGTGCTTCTCTCTGCCCTGTCTCAGGCCAGGCCAGATGTGTGCTTGTCCCAGGGCTGTGGGGCAGGCAGGAGGAGGGATGTGCCTTTCTCTCTTTCTTGGGCCCTGCTCCCCTGGGGTGACCTACTTCCTTGAGGGGAATGGCATCTGGACAAATGCCACCAAAACCGGTGGGGAGGCCGGGCTACCTGGAATGGATCTATATGCTGATTTTTAAAGATTATTAGAGGTAATTAAACTGAATGCTCAACCATCTGTGGCCCTTAGCTCCTGGGTGTTTCTGCCTGCCCTGCCATTCACCACCACACTGGGTCTCCCCCATCTCCATCTCACCTTTGACCTCCAAGACCAGCTCCTCAGGTGGCCCTCCTCCCCATACTCAGCTCTGCCTGCTTGAGCACTGAGGCTGGACCCCCGCTGGGAGGCCTGGCAAGGTTTGGGCAGCTGGGGGTGGGGGGCAGCTATTTCTAGACTCTGAACCTATCTGGAAGCCAGAGGCTGCTGACAGGCCACAGAAGGAGCCAGGAGGTTGGTATGCCTTCCTCTGACCTTGGGCCACCCAAAGCAGGACTTTGGCACCAGAAAACTTGGCTAGGCCTGGCTTGAAGACAGGAGAGGCAGGTAGCTGTGGGGTCAGGTTAGACTCTTGTACAAAAACCTCACCGGGGAAGTAGGGTGGGACAATGGGTCAGGAGAAACCTGCCAATGGCGACTTTATTCCCCACCCACACACACACCCAAGCCCCAGGTCCAAGTGGTATCTCAGCTGGGTGCTTGGGCCTCACTGGAGTTGAGCCTCCGCAGCTGGCTGAGGCTGGCAAGCCGGAGTCTGAGCAGCGTCTCCTCCTGTGTGCGCAGTGTGTGCGCCAGCATGCGGAGGGATTCACTCTGCAGCACTGTGGACGGGCAGGCGGGAACGGGGGGGGGGGGGGTATCAGACCACGTGCCACCCCACAACTCCCCACCTCACTGGCTAGGCCTCTGCAGCTGTTTCCAGCCACGCAGAAAAGCCTTGCAGTCCCAGTTACTCGCTCTCAGTTCCCACTGGCTTTCCGCACCGTCCAACCATACCGCTCAGGTAGACAGCCAGGATGGCAAGTGCCAGGCAGGTGAACACCAGCAATGCGAGCAGCAGGAAGCCTCCCCTGCTGTGCACAGGGCTGCAGCCAGCCTGGGCACACAGCGACGGTGGCAAGATACCCAGCAGCTCGTCCCATGGCTGCACCTCCTCAGTCAGGTAGGGGTGCAGCGAACCTGCAGGGCAAATGGGGCATCGGGAGGGTAGGGGTTGTGCCTGCTCTCCTCCCCTCTCCCAGCATGTCAGTCCCCTGCCCTATGCCCCTCACCTCCACTGTGTAGGTCGCTGATGGACTCCACCTGGTGCAGGCGCACCTCCTGTATGTGGTTGGGGGCCAGTGGCGCCCTGCTCCTCGTGCTCGGTGTTAGTGCCAAGGTGTCTGCTGGGACAGTGCAGGGCTGGTTCAGCCAGCAGGTCATGCCTCCCTTTTAAGGTGGCTTCATGCGGCAGCCGCGGCTCAGAAAAGATGGGACAGGACAAAGGGACATTGGCTCCTAGTGCCCTAAAACCAGCTCAGGAACGACACTTGATTCGGAACCAGGATGACCTCAGAACTCTGTGGGCCTGTTAACACCTACAGTAGCAGGAGGTACGTTTGACCTGCTCACTTTTGTTTCCTTACAAGCACTTCAACGGCTTTCTGGCATTCCTCTGCCTGTTCATTTCTAGAGAAGAGTTTGTCAGCTTTGAAGGACTAACCCCACAGTGCGTGAAATTCATTCCTGCCTCTTCTGCTATCACTTTTCCCTGCAGACCCTGTGGGTTGGCCATTGGGCCAGACCCAGTGCCTGGTACCTCCACATCTCCATCCTAGCTGGGTGGTGCTTGTGCTTTGTGGCCTTGGCTCTGCTTTAACATATTCAGCCTGATCCTGCTGTACTTCTGTGAACCCTGTTTTCACTCAACATGTGACATGCCTTTGTTATGAAGCTGTTCTACATGCTTCTGAGGTCCCCTTTGAGGCTGCCTGGGCATTTAGGTTGTTTCCAGTTCCCTTTGGAAGTAACTCCCAGGAAGGATATGCATCATTGAGTATGAAGGTTTTTCCCAATTTCCTAATTGTTAATAAGGACGGATTCCCAGAAGCAAAATTATTGGCTTAAAGAGCAGGGACTTTTTCTTTAAGCCATTAAACTGTCCTCCAGAATGACTATCCACAGCCCCCAAAAGGGTACAACATCGCCACCATTAGACATTTTCAATGAAAAATTTATATACACACGTGTACGCATGTTTGCCAGTTGGGAGATGAGAAAAGGCTTTTCTTGACCTATTTCGGTCTCTTTGCCTGGAGGGCCTGATGAATGCGTGTGGCTTCCTAGTTATCCATTCACAGCCTCTGCCCATTTAGTCACTGGGACCTCTGTACTTTTCTTGTGATCTTACTATTTTTGTACTCCTCAAAAGTATTTATTTTGTGATTTCTAAAAAAGTACTTTTTTTTTTTTTTTTACTTCTTTGACTTTTTATTTTATTTATTTTTTAATCTTGGCTCCTTAAACCTCCAGATACCCAGCTGGCTGCTAGGTAACAGTATGGGGCATTGATAGGGGCAAAGGTGATTGGACTATCACTTTCACAACAATAACTCAACCTTCATGATTTGCTTGAAACTGGCCCTTGAAATGCTCCAAAGTGAAACAAGATGCTGGCAGTCATTATGTTTGGGTGATAGGTCAGGGGTCATGTTAAATTCCTCTGCACTTGGCTCTGCTTTCCCAACACTTTTTTTTTTTTTTTTTTAATGTTTATTTATTTTGAGAGAGAGCAAGCTTGCCGGCTTGGGAGTTGGGGAGGGGCAAAGAGAGAGAGAGAGAATCCCAAGCAGCCTCCACTAGTGCTGTCAGTGCAGAGTCCAGTGTGGGGCTTGAACTCACGAATGGTGAGATTATGACCTGAGCCAAAATCAAGAGTTGGCCACTTAACCGACTGAACCACCCAGGTGCCCCTCCCTACACTTTATAAATTGAACTCAGATTCTGTTCATCACCAGGAAAATCGTGGTAAACATCATTGTTAGGGCCTCAAAAGGAGGCAAATATCCTCCACCACTAGTGGGGGCTGGGGCCCTCCTATCCAGTTGAAATGTTGAAAATGTGACAAGAGGGTTGACCAGCTAGACCTGCTGGAGCAGTGAAGCAGCTGGTCATCCCTGCTGTGGCCCCTGTGAACCTCTGTACTTCTTGCATGCAGTGGGGTAGTTAGGTGACTGGCCACCAAAGTCTTAACTAGCTGTCAGTCTGGCCAGGCCAAAGGATCCCAACTGGCTAACAGTTGGGTCCAGTTAGGCCCAAGTTGGAGGTGACCAGAGATCTATCCACTCCTGGTCCCTGGGCTGCATGCCCAAATGCTTCCTAGAACCACTGCCCGCCCCCAATCCCAGCTTCCTCCCTGAATGAAGAGCCGAACTGGCCTGGCAGGCCACCTCCTCAGCCCATACCCACTTGGGCACAGCCTATAGCTGACTACCCCCAAGCGAGTAGCTCCCCCCAATCCCTCCCTGCTGTCCCTAGCAGGGGAAACAGGCAGGGCCTAAGGGGAGGTGGGGTTCCAGACATAGCCCTTTCTCCATGCACAGGGGGCAGGTTCCCTTAATCTATGGCATGGTGATTGATAACTAGTTAAGGAAGTGAGGTCAGTGGGACAGTGGGTTTGCTCTGTGGTTCACAGGGTCACAGGACTGGGGCCTTGCCCTCCCCCACGGTCATCTCCTACCTTCTTGGGTGTCCTCAGGCATGGTGGGCGGTGGGCAGCTGGGGGGCTGATAATAGCACTCAGTATGAGGACAGGATGGAAGCAGCAGCGGCTCCTCAGAGCCTGGGGAAGGCAGGCCACCTCCCAGCCTGGGCCTAAAATAGGCCTGAGCTCAACCCACTGGGCTATATTTAGAGGGGGCAGCTCTCAGCCATGGGAAGTTGTGGAGTGACCCACATGGGCCAGCTAGCTGGTGATGGAGCCCAGACAAGAGCACACCTCCACTAATACAAATGCCCAGGGTCTTTCCTGGGGAACTCTACCACTCCCATACACGCACAGGCCTTGGTGTCTTTATCCAGACAAGCTGCCTCATGCTCACCTCCAGCAATGCCCCACATGGCAGCCAAGGTATGTAAGGGAGCCCTGTGCCTCTACCCACAAAGACCCCGACCCAAAGTTGGGTCATCTCTTCTCCAAGCACACGGACAAGAACCTACCCGTGTGACCTGCTGGCACCAGGGATTGGGGTGATGGACAGCTTGAGTGCATTGCAATGAGGGCTCTGAGAATCCCCAAAGAGGGCAGAGACACACCTATAAAGGTAGGCACTCATGTTGGTCAGTGGGCAAACTTAGGCTGAAGATTGGTATTTCTGTTAATAAGCCTACAACCTTGGTTAACGAATTGCCTGCTCTCTGACCTCCATTTTCTCATTTGTAAAACAGAAAGGACAATTATGGTTCCTCCCTGGCGCAGGACACGTGAAAATGGAATGCAGCTGCATGTCTGCAGTTTACCTCCTCCCTCCTCTCTCCATACAAGTCACACCATGTTGTGTGAGGAGGCATGGTACCACTCACCCCTGAAGGGAGGAAGTGGCCAGGCTGAGGGCCCACCCCTTGCTGTTGGACCCCTGTGACCCTTCTCCCCAACTGGGAGGAAGTAAGACGGTGAGAATCCTCCCCCTAAAACATCCCAAATCCATCACTCCACTGTATCACACTGGCCTCCTTGATGTTCCTCACACACAGCAACCTTGTTTCCACCTCAGGACCTTTGCACTAGCTGTTGCCTCCTGGAACACTCCACCCCTTAGATACTCCCATGACTGGCTCCTTGTTGTTTAGCTCAAATGTCACCCCCTCAGTGATGCTTTCTCACATTGTTTTCCGTATCTCCAAATTTCATTTTCTTCATAGCACTCATCCAAGAAATCATATTCAGAACATACTGTGCAGGTCAGTAGGGCCCCAAAGGCCCCACAGAATCTACTCAGTCACATGGAAACTGCCTTTAATCCTCATCACAGCATCCTTTTCAGAAACTGAGGCCCTAAGACTGCTAGGAAGTTGCCCAAGGCCGCACAGCAAGACCTAGTACCAGCGGTTGTCAGCTGGGGCCATTCCAGCTTCGGCTCATAATGTGTTTATTGCATTAGTACAGTCGGCCTGTCCCACTCCCGCCCCACCAGTTCAGCCTGTTCACAGCTTTCTGCTCATTCTCCAAGGAGGAGGTCTTTATCCCGGGGTGGGCACTCCGGGCACCTCCTCTGCCCAGGTCGTTGCTCTGGAGCCTTGCTTATCTCCCTCCTCCCGACCAGCCGGCCCCTGTGCCCCGCCTGGGCCGTCCCTCCCAGGGCTACATTCAAGGGTTATCCTCTGTTAATAAATAAGCCGGGGAGGCTGCCCCTCAGCCAGGGCCTGTAGGTCGGTGTCTCCATCAACCAGGGACCAATGTGCCAGGCCCCCTAGCTGTGCGTCCTCCACGGTCTGTCCTCCCCCTGTCCTGCCTGTAGCCTCCTTCCCTGTACCCGGCGTGGACTTCCGAATCACCAGTGCGCTGCGCTGCGCGGCCCCCGCTCAGCACGCGGCTCTGGGGCGTGCCTTCGCCGGTTTCGGCCCTTCCTCCGTGACTCGGGAGGCGGTGGGCGCGACTCAGGCTGCAGACGACACATTCGCAGGGAACTCGCGCCACCGCCGCCCGGCTCCACCAGCTGCAGGAAGTCCCGGTACCAGAGCCTGGGGCCTGGAGGGGCTACGGGCACAGCCTCCTCGGTCCGGGCCAGCCTTTCGGCCTGCACAGCACTCAGCACGTGTAGCACCAGGCGACGCAGCGACTGCGAAAAGCCCTGCTCCACAGCTGCGCACTGGTACACGCCAGAATCCCCGCGCCTCAGTCCGCGCAGCAGCAGTCCCCCCGTAAGGCGCTCCGCGCGCTTCTCCATAGCTACCTGCAGGCGGGGCCAGTGGGAGGCAAAGGCATCGGTGTCAGGAACAAGGAAACCCGGCTCCCAGGTCGGGCCAGGAGAGGTAGAGGGTCAACGGTGGCCAAGCATGAGCAGGTAAGGGACTCTCGCAGGTGTACCTTTGAAGGTTGGGTGCATTGGGACCAGTGGTCTAAAAGCGGAAACATTTACGGGACCGGACGAAACCGGACGGTACTGGACTGGAGGTGGTGGGGGTTACCTGAACATGGGGGCGGGGCGGGGGCCTCAGTGGGCGGGGCGAGGGCGGGGCTCCTCTCGGATCGGGGAGGGGGGTATCAGGAGTCTAGTTAGATGGAATGGGGCCTCATCAGAATGTGGAGTTCAGGTAAGGGACCAAACTGGACGTAAGGGGTCTAGCTGGACGGAGTCTCACTGGGCGGGGTCGGACCTAGTCTAGAAGTGGGAACCACACTGGCTAGGGCGGGGCTCTCCTGGATGTAGGGGGCGGGACAAGGGCTTGTTTGGGAAGGGAGGGCGTGAGGCTCACCTGGGTGTGGGTCGCCTCCCCTGCGCGCTGGAAGGTCCATTCCACGCGCGCCTGCAGCGAGCGGGGCTCACACTCCAGGAAGGCGCTTCCACCCTCCACACCGAACACCTTCCGCTCCAGCAGTGCGGGATGAGAGGAGTCTGGGGAGGGCAAAGGAATGTCAGATTCAGGTAGGGCAGGGTGGGGCGTCTTCAAAGGCCCAGAAGTGGGGCAGCTGGGGCACTCACCGCCGGAGCACAGCGTGCTGGGGTCGCCATTCCTCACGTCTTGCCGACGGAACCGCCTGCAGGGTGGGGGTTGCATTGGTACATTAGAGCCTCCGTGAGTCCTTCATTTAGCCAGGTGCTGCAAATGATTCCAGGTGGCCCGCCCCCAACCCTGCCCACCTTTTAGCGCTGGGCTGAAAGCGCGTGCACGCGGCCCCGTCCCAGGCGCAGTAAGGGTCTCGCGCAAGGCAGCATTCCGCACAGGCGCGGCCGTGGGCAGCACAGAGGTGCAACGGGATCTGGGCGACCGCGCTCCGCGAAGCTATGTACAGCTGGTGCTAGGGGGCACGAGGGGCTCCGGGCTGACCGAAGGCAGCCCTGTGCCCGCCTCCCATTGGTCAGGGATCCCTCACCCCACTTGACACTGATCAGGGTCTCAGGTCACGCAGTCTAGCAAAGGCAGAACCTATACTCAAACCCAGTGCTTCAAACTACCAAGGGAGGCGTGGGGGTAGGGGTGCCCGGGGAACACACTGGGTCCCTTCTGCTCCCAAGCCTTTTGGTCACTTACCCTCTTGGAAGAGATTTGCATGCTGGTGATAGCAGATGAATCCTGAGAGGAGGAAGAGCGATTGCTGGGATCAGAGATCAATGGGGTAGGGTTCCTCTAGGAGGAGGGGGCTAGGCCTCACCTCAAAAACGTGCAGCTCCTCCAAGAGCAGCCCCTCCCCGTTAGACTGGCTGCCCTTGGGGACGGAGATCACCTTCAGCACTGTGCCAGCGTCTGCAGGGATGAGGAATGAGTGATTCCTTGTGTTTCCTGGCAGCTAGGGCTGGGAATCTCCTCACTTCTGAGGCCTTTACCCTTAGCATGGTTGGATAGGTGAAGAATGTGGGTTGGAACAATCAGACCAGCATCCAGAAGGAGATGAGAGCACAACCCAGGCAAAGATGTGAAGATGGGACTGGGCAGGGGCAGCTTCTGCTGACAGGTGGAAGAGAGTCTGGACAGAGTTTTATGGGTAGTCATGGCAGGACACTGACCTGTGCCAATGAAGAGGACGTCGTAGTGTCCGTCAGCAGCTGCTACACGGTCTGCAGTGATCTGGGTGAAGGTGTACCCGGCATCCACTTGTATGAAGAGAGGGCGACCACCCATGGGCAGGACCGAATTGTACATGAGGGGGTGGTTCCGGGCAAATTGAATGACATCATCAGGAAAGTCCTTGGTAGAACTGAAGGTGCCAAAGGTCTTGCTGGGACACTGGGCAGGTGGGGAGGAGGCACGACAGGGATGTGGGTACGAGGGCCTGGTGGGTCCACAAGAGACCTCCAGGTACCCGAGTATAGGGGAGTGCTAATGGACAGAGGTCTGCCCTGAGAATCTGAAGAGAGAAGACCCAGCCTTGCCCTTGGGACTCTTAGGGGGAAATATGCCCTTCCTCTGAGGAGCCCTGTCTGACGAAGGTGATGTTTTCCCACCCATAACGGAAGGAAAAAAACACATTCACCAAGAAGATCCCAGGCCAAGTTTTCCACCCCTGAGACTTTAAGTGGGTTGTGGTGGGACTCCTGGGGCTACGCACCATGCCAGGCCGGGGGTAGGGGACACGGCCCTGGTAGGACACCCACTGGTGCATGGGCCCTTCCTTGTGTGCAAAGGGCCCCAGGAAGGCCCGGCGCACGTCGTTCATGCTGTACACACACACTGCAGAGCCCTGGAAGATGGTGCTGCAGGCGAAGACATGAGCAGACTGAGGGGCCCAGCAGAGCCCGTTGGGCCTTGCCCTCTACCTCCTTGCCCCTCACCTCGATGTGGAGAAGACAGCGTAGAGCAGTGGGCTCCAGCGGTCCCTCAAGGACAGCAGGAACATGTCCTCTGTGGGGAAGAAGCCTAGTTGGGGGAGGGCACACAGCCCTCTGGGCAGCCCGGCTCCTGGGTCTGGCCCCCTGCACTCCCTCTCTCCAGCCCCATCCTCTGCTCCTGGCACTCACGGAGGTGGTCGAAGTGTGTGTCACCCTCGACACCTGGCACTGAGCACACCAGACGCGCCTTCAGGAACGTGGTCCACTTGTTGACAAGGCTTCGCTGGCCTCCCACGTCATTCTGCAGGGTCAATCAGCAGGGATGAGGGGGAGGCCCAGACAGGCAAAAGGGCAGGGATGTAGTCATCGGATGTGGCCCAAGGACTCCTCACCCGACAGATCTGGCCAACCCGGGACACAGTCTGGCGTCCCAGTGATGGCGAAGCCTCCACTGCTGACTCACGGAAGAAGAAGTAGATCTTGTCATCATCAGGATTCTCGCTCTCTGGGATCCAAAAGACCTTGACGAACTTGGGCTCTAGCAGCAGGAGGAGTGGGGTCAGAAAGGTCCTGGCCCTGCCACTCATGAGACCCACATGCTCCCTTTCCTTTCTCTGGTGCCCCCAGAAGCCCACAGGGCAGCATCTGACCACCCGGTCTCCAGGTAGGATGGCACTCTAAGGGGACAACATCCAGAGGATCAGGGCCTGTGAGTCAAGAAGTAACCACAAGAGGGCAGCAGAGACCAAGACTACCTAGACACACAGGCCTCTCCCCTCGGCCCCTGACAGTTCCCCAGGCCCTTGGTCCAGAAAGGAGGGAGATGGGATATTGGGGTTTTACCTTCACTCATGAATCTTCCTCTTGAGCAGGAAGCAGATTCCCCCTGTTACTGCTGTGAATACTCTGCTGGGTCCCCTCACTCTTAGAACAAATGACCCTGATCTCTGACAATGCAGACCCCTTATCCTTTCTCTTTTCATGAGTCTGTTCCTTGGCTTGTTCCTGCCCCAGAGCCTTTGCACTAGCTGTTCTCTTTACCTGGAATGCTCTTCCCTCAATCCTGCTGTGCTTTGGGAATTAGCTCTCCCCTGTCCTCAGCAGAATGACTTCCTGTCTCCAGTTCTCTTACCACCTGGTCTCCTTTTCCCTTTCTGTCTGTTCACTCACTGGTCTCATTGCCATTGGAACCATCTTATTATGTACCTGTTCTGAGGTCTGTGACTTCAACGAGGGCATGGGCCACACAGGTCTTGTCTGCCCTGCAGCCCCAGGCCCTAGCACAGGGCTTGATGCATGGTGGGTACTTGGCGAGACCTGGCTGCACCCACTGCTCACTTCCTTTATGGGTCTTACTAGGCACCCACCCTGTTGGGGATGAGAGCCCCCTCCCAATAGCTCCACCAGCCTTTCACCGTTGAGCCAGCGAGAATCGTGTGGTTCTGTTCGCAGACTTGGACGCTGGCCCAGGCTGCGGAAGATGGTGAAGTCCCGGCCCATGAGGTCTGCGGCCACCCCTGAGTACAGTTCTTTCCCTGCAGATAGGGCAAGGGCTGCTTAGCCAATCTGAAGGCTCTCTGTGGGGAGAGAGAGCCCAAGAGCTCTTAAGGAGTCAGTGATGCCCTGGGGGCTCTCAGGGGCTCTCAGGAGGGTCTAGAGTCTCTGCAGGGCCCTAGCCATTGGACTCACCCACCAGCACGGAGGCAGCCCGATGCCTGGGGTCATAAGGACTCTTGCCCTTGCCGTCCTCCAGCCTTCGAAGGTCTAGCCGGAGCGTGGGCTCCTGGGAGGCAGGGGGCAGTTGTTACTTCCAGGCCCTTCTTTACCTCCCAACCTCCCTCTCTGCCTAGATCTGGCCTTACCTCCAGCCGGTGGCCCACCTCCACAAATGCACAGGTTGGGTGGAAGGCCCCTGTGCCACAGGCCAGCAAGTGGGTGCGGTTGTAGGCATGCAGCAACTTCACGAAGTTCATGCACTCGGTCTAGTGGGCGGGCAGGGGCAGGGACGATGAGGCCTCCCCCAGGGAGGCAGCATTAAGGGGTCCCAGCTCGCCAGTGGTACCTCACCCCTTCCTCTCTTCTGCATCAGTCCAGCCAAGTAGCAACATGGGCTTCAGGGGCCCGGACACCCTTGGTGACCAGCTCAGCCCACCTCTCACAGAAGGGGTGCATGGAGAAGCATAGGCCTGTACAGCCCCCTATGACTCAGACGCCCCCAAGAAGAATCACATGAGCCTCCACCCTGACTCACTACCTCCAAACTTCAGCCACCTCGACCCCCTGCCCCCATCCCAGACAGAAGAGGCAGGCTTCTGCCGTCTGTGGAGCAAGGGGCCGGGCCTCCCCACTCCCGCCCCGGGCGGCCGGCACTCACACCAATGTCCTTCCCTGCCCAGTTGCACTCCTCTCGCCATTCCACAGGGGCCGGCCAGGCCAGCTGCGAGGGGGTCAGGGAAGGGGGACACAGGTCAAGGGCCTTTGCCTGGTCTCTGTGAAGAGGGTGTCTGCTCAGGGGCCCACCCCCCCTGGGGAGCACAGAGGCTGGGGGTCCCTGGCACCTTCTTGGCCCGCTTGCTGATGTCGTCCAGGCTGAGGGAGGCCACGCGGTTCTCAGCACCCACAAACAGGCGTCCTCTCTCCTCGTCCACCAGCAGAGCTTCATAGCAGCAGGTCCTCTCCAGCCTGAAGGTCCGGAGACCGTGCTGGGCCTGGAGCTCTGCAGGGTAGTGTTTGCCAGCCATGTTGGGAGCTTTCCCCAGACCCTACCTATCGTCTCTCTCACAGGTGATGGTTGTATATGTGACCTGGCCCACACATGTGAGTTTACCCATGTGTGAGTTTACATTCGTGAAGACAGATCCACCCATGTGAAAAGCTTCCAGAGTGGGCAATGCAGCACCTTCCCCCCCACCCCAAGGGAAAAGCAGGTTGAACTCCTCAGGCGTGCCTGGACAAGCAGTGTCTGCAGGCGGGTGCACTGGGAGGCCGGGTGTTGGGGGAGGCTGTGTATGTAGGGAAAGCCAGGACCCCCACCCCAAAGTCAGGCTGAGGTTTCTCTGCCACCCTGCTACTAGCCTAAGCTCAGTGCGATGCCTGGTGACCACCCTTCTGTGTCAGGGGTGTGGGGGTGGTAGATGGGACACAGGCAGGATCTGTTGCCACGGGAACAGAAGGGGTCTTCCTGGGAAAGTCAGAGGAGAATGTGTGCAGAAAGGCTGGGGGCTGAGGCCAGGACAGGGTTAACTGGAGATGGCCTGAAAGTGCCCCCACTCAAACCTGGGCCAGTGGCACAGGGCAGCAGCAAATTTAGTGCCCCCTACTCACACTGGGTCTCTCTCCTGCTCACCCTGAGCCAAGCCCTCTTGCCTGCCAGGTGCACCTACCTTGGAAGGAGAGCCGAAGGCGGGGAGGGCTGGGGGCAGCACCCCCCAGCACTGCTGCCCAGAGCAGGGCCAGGCCTGGGATCATGGCGGCGGCCGCAGCCTGCCCCATCCGGGCAGCTCAGGGTGCTCAGGGTTCAGCAGGCGTGTGTGGAGGAGCCTTGAGCCGCCCTGGACTCTGCCCCAGGATCTGGAAGAGAAGGAGCTGCAGCAAGGACGAGGGCGGGCTGGAGGCTAGGGGGGAGTCCCCAGGGATCAGATTACAGCCCCTGGGGGAAAAGAGGCTGGGGGGTCGCATTCCACTTCCGAGCTCTCCCCTCCCTCCAAGTGTGCCCTGCCTGGCCACAATCACAGACACACCCACGCTGGGCACACCCTTGGGGTCACCCCCACGTGGGCAGGCGCCCGCCCCACCACGTCACCCTCCCTCGTAACCCCCCTCCCATAGACACACAGGCATTAATTCACAAACTCTGTGTGCCTACTTCATGCCAGCCTGGGACATTGGGGGACACAGACAAAGTCCCCATGCAGGAGGGGGCAGAGTGCCAACAAGGACTCAGATCAGTGCAGTCATTTCAGAGGGCGCCAAGTGTAATGAGCAAAACAAACCAGTCATGGGAGTGAGAGCAGCGACAGGAGGGGTGAGGCCTCTGGAGGTGGCTGTGCACCCACAGGCCTACAGAGGAACTGAGGCACCCTTGGGGCTAGAGCCAATGGTGTGGGCGCCTGTGAGTGTGACTGTTTCTGAGGGTCCCTTTGTGTTATCTGTATCGCGCGCGCATGTGTCACGTGTATGCAGGCAGATGTGTACGTGTCTGTGACAGTGTGTGGCATGAGAGTTGTATTACACATGTAGATATATGGCACATGTGTGCACTTTACACACGTGTATATGTGTGTCACAGATGCGTGCATGTGCGAATGTGTGTGCAGACACACAGACAAGTGTATGTGTGTTTCTCTGGACATGCAGGTGAGCAAATACAACTGCAGAGACAATCACAGCCCTCAACTCGGAAACATGCCTGAAACCCATTCTTCTGAGGAAAAAGTGCTGCCCAGGAGCCCCA